AACTTTCAACACAAACGTTTGCATAGAAAACTATGCCACATAAATCACTTTTACTTTAAGGCTACATGTTAGTGATTAAGGTTAATAAACCTGATGGGGGAATATTAAAGATACGTCCCTACCATGTATGAGAAGAGATCTGAAATACACATTAAGATGAGCAAAATGTCTATGCAGTGAAAACATGTAAATTTTAATTTAACATAATCTTTCTTCACATTCATTCTACATGATATATTTAGAAAGTATAAAGATCTTTCATCTATTCATCAATTATTATATTCACAAAATCATAATAAAAATGTTACAAATGATTTGGTCAGTCAGCAACCAATTCGAATAATTACTGAACTAAAATCACGGATTCAACGATTGAGAAATAAAATACGGTATCACGTCGGCTGCTTGTACCGGTAGAGCAATCAGATCAAGAAAGTGAACAACGACCATTTTGTGTAAGTCAATTTTTATTTAAGTAGTTAACATTTAATTGTAGCACTATGAGCATAAAATATATATTTGATTAGTTAACCCTTAATGAAAGTGTTATAGTTTGTGGCCTTGTGCCCTATTATATATGACTTTATGATACCGCCAATTAGGGAACAGGGACTCATAGACTGGACCAATGACGCGTAAAACCGTACGAGCAGTCTACAATCCTTATCGGTCCTTCTCCCTACACAGCGCTACCTGTTAAGTCCAGAGCACCAATCTCAGCCTCTGAAATATGAATCATGTATTTCAAACATTCTGGGTTTACATACAAATCAAACGGACCAATTGGCATCACAAAATAGAAAATAAATTTTGTACAAGATCTGGCCAAACGTGGCTGTAAAAATGGGAGACTATAATTAATAAACTGGACAGAACTCAAGAACAGTAAATCGTATAATAGTCTATAGATCAAAATAAAGCTTATAATAAGGGGAGCAATTATATAACAAAAATACATGTATAGCATTAGTCCATAAATAGTTCTCAAGAGTTACAATTCATAACTCTCGTCGGAATATAACGAAAAGGGCAAAAACTAATACAAAATTCGTAATTGACATCACTGTATAAATCTGAAGTTGATTATAACGTAATATACAGGTTCGTCTAAATTTTTGGTATGATAATGATAAAACACAGCTCCATCAACTTAATTGTGTTGATTTTCGGTCTTATACTCAAATTTTGAAATCCCAGATTTTCGCTGATCACTCCATTATAAGTAATCGCTAATTAAGTTAATGTACCCTAGTTTATTAAAGTGATTATGTACCAATGCTTTCTCTTTGATCTATATCACAGTAAGTAGTAGATTGTTAATGGTTTAAAATAAAACATACCATGAAAATCAAATTAATTTAAAATTTTGACCCAAAGTTCGAACAGAACTATTAGACGGTTACAAACTACCACACTATCAGCCGTTCACCTTGAAGTTGAAGATGAACTTTATTGATATATATCAACAAGCATGAAACCCAGAGAAAGATACTGTCACTGACTGCTGAAATATTTAATACCATTTGCAGTACAGAATGAATAACCTGGTAACTGAATTATATTTACTGATAATGAACTTTAGTCAATATAGACCAAATGACAGAATTTATCATGAATAGCAAGCGAAAAAATGGATGAAAAATGCTCTACATCCAAATATGGACAGCAGTTTATGCATTTAGTTATGCACTACTCATTAATAAAATGTTACATGATTGAAATAGTACTAATGACTGCTAGTGAATTTCTGAAAACCTGTTAAAACTGTATCCGAAGTCACAGTATTCCAAATAAACTTTTAACTAATTCAAATTTATTTCAAGTGCTTTAAACAAAGTAAAAATAAACCATTCTTTTCTTTACGATAAACTTGTTAAATTTTCGCCATCAATATGATAATAACTTCACTCCACCTGTAGCTATTCTACCGCTATTGCCGGTCCCAAGTCCACACAAAGGAGGATGTGTGAGTGTGCGGTTGGCAACCCCATCTCGTAAAAAACAACATTGCTAAAAATACACAAACCAGATTCAACAATTTAAACCAACTCAACTCTACTCTCTGAGTTTAAGGAAAATTATGATGTCTCATGATGGAAGCCTAGATTCTTCATCAGTCAAAAGGCTGATACCCAATTCTCACAACCAGAGCAACAATTAACATAGAGACATGGAACGTCCGAACAATGTAAAGGACCAAAAGAAACAGTCAAATAGCAACAGAAATCAGAAGATAAAATTTGGAGGTTTTCGTTATCAGCAAAATCCATTCGACCCGAACTGGACAGCAAAGGCTAGGTACGGGATAGATGCTTCTGTACTCCTAGCACGAAGAGGAAAATACTCCTCACACTTAAGGAGCTGCTCTGATGTTGTCTAAACAAGCACGAAAAGCACCTACCAGATGGGAATCTAATTGATCCAGGATCATCGAAGCATCTTTCATAACAAAGAAGGTGAAAATCACAATGGATGTTACTCAATGTTATGCACCCACCAATAATAGCAACGAAGACGATAAAGATCAGTCAACAATAGCGAAGCGCTCAGGAAATGATTTGGTCATTATGATGGGAGATCGAAACAGCAAAATCAAAATGGACAACACCGGGTATGAAGATATCATGGGACAACATGGACTGACTGAGAAAATGAACGAGGATGGTGAGAGGTTTGCAAATCTATGTGCATCCAACAAATCGGTTATAGGCGGCACAGTGTTTCCCCACAAACTCATACACAAAGCTACATGGGTCTCACCAGACCATACCACAGTGAACCAGAAAGATCATATTTGTATCAATAAAATATTGAGAAAGACAATAGAAGACATGAAAACCACGAGAGGAGCTGACATAGCTCCAGATCACCACAGAGTAGTGTCCAAGATGATAATAAAGCTAAAGAAACAATGGACAACTGGACAAACAGCACTATAAAAGTTTGATATAGCTTTCATTCGAGACACTGACAATTTCAATAAATCCAAGGTCGCCCTCAACAACAGGTTCCAAGCCTTACAACGTCCACTCAGAGAAGAAAAATCTACCATGGAGAACAACTGGAGAGGGATGAAAGAAGCACTAACTTCAACGTGTCAGGAAGTGCTGTGTCGCAAGAAGCATCATCATAAGGAATGGGTTTCCATCGAAACCGTGGAATAATTCAAGAGAAGGTACTCAAGAAGACAGCAATTAACAACACTCGAGAGAAAACAGTGAATGCGAAGACACAGACCGAATTCACAGAAGCAAACAACTAAGTAAAGTGAATCACTAAAGCCAGCAAACAGAAATACATGTAAGACCTAGCAACAGCAGGGCAAAAAGCTGCAATTGTAAGAAATATGAAACATACCATGTGAAACACTGAAATCAGACATAGCACGAACTGAAAATATGCTCCACTTCCTATTCAGCCAGATCTGATAGGAAGAACAAGTGCCGATGAACTGGAAAGAAGGACACTTCATCAAGATACGAAAGAAAAGAGATCTGAGCAAATATGAGAACTACACAAGGAGCACACCACTGTCAGTACCAGGAAACATCTCAACAGAGTGTTGCTTGATTGGATGAAAGACTCATTAAACACCCAACTTTGAGATCAACAGGATGTGTCCAGTTGAAAAGGAAATTAGGAAAAGTTGTTATAAGTGGATATGATACACATTGAGGAAATCACCAAACTGCATCACGAGTCAAGCGCTAACTTGGAATCCCGAAAAGAAATGAAAAAGTGAAAGGCCAAATAACACGCTGGGCCGAGAGTTGGAAGCTGATATAAAAAAGATGAACAGCAACTGGAAACAACTGTAAAGGATATGGTTAGTTGGAGAATGCTAGTGAGCCGCCTATGAGGGATAGCAGGCGTAATTAAGTAAGAAATATTCTTTACAAAACTCATCTTTTATTATTTATAAATAATCTGGTAGATCAAACAAATGCTTAATTTTATTTTGTATGCTATTTTAAATAGATCAAATTCATACTACTTTGTATGACCTAATTTCTCTTGATTGGCATTTAAATGGAAACTCAGTACTGAGGATTGATTTTTCATAACTATTTCTTGATTTGGTGAATTGAAATGCTCTCTTAATCCAGTCAGTAATTCAACGAAGTATATTTACATAACATAAAAACATTTTTTTATCTATTTAATTTCCCCTCAATTTTTTCCCTATTTAATTTAGAAATTATCCTCTTAAATATTATTTAAAATAGAGTGATTATATCTTTAAATACTTTCAGGTCATAAGATTAAGAATTTGCCATTTATTTTGAAGTGATTTTCAACTCTTAATCTGAGGGTCGTATCTTCAGTTTTTTATGTATATTTATATACAAATACATATATGTATAATATTGATGTCATATATATATATACTAAGGATAAAAGGTTAATTCATTGTATTCCACGATTCTACAGCAAATTCATCTAATCAGCTAATGACTGACACAGCTTAGCCAAAATGATTACTAAATTGATCAAAGCGTCATTACATTATTGTAATTCACTTCTAAGTGAACAAACTGTTAAGAGAAATGAGTTTTAAATCTTAATACTTCAGAAGCTCAATGTTTATATATTTCGTTTTACTAAAATAATGTAAGTCGTTTAATCATTATAACACTATTAAATAACAGCTTTGTAAAACAAATATCATGAAGTATAGCACGATGAATTACAATTAGTATCTAATACGCTTTACGCTATAATTAAATACGTCATCTAGTGATGATTATTACTAATTTAATTAGTAGCGATTTTGAAGTAGTTAACATCACACTACAATGAAATATTCTATTTAATGTTTTATACAATTTAATGTCTCAGTGAAATAAACAAAATAGTAAACACCAATAACTATGAATTTAACTACACTATATCCGAATTCCTGAATTGATTACAATCATTGTTTTCATTACAAATCAAACTATATATATATATATATATATATATATATATATATATATATATATATATATATAATTTACCTTGCCCAACCAGATGGTAAATGAACAAGTAATATTCCAGTATCAGTTAAAGATAATGCTGTCATAAATAAATATGGTGTAGCTTCAAACTGTTTATGACTTAATACAATTACATTTATTATATTTAATATTGCTCCAGTAATACATATTGTTGTTTGTACAAAAAATGCACTATAAATTTCAATATTATTTTCTCTATATAATGTTAAATTTGTATCTGATCGTAAATTTGTTAAATTAATAAATGTTTGATTCATAATGAAAAAAGAAAAAAAAAGAAATATTGTTTAACAAAATTTCAATTCATTTTTATTTTGTCTCATGATTATTAATCCATAAATATCTTCATTAAATAAATAGTATATTCAATGTTCTACAATGTTGTTGTTGTTGTATGTTGTTGTTTATCATTTCATTTCAAATTATTAACTTATACATGTTTTAGTTTAATTTAATAACATAATAATACATAGATATATGATTGATAAATAAATAACATTTTAAACAACCAATCAAAATAAAATTATTCGATCACTTTTGTGATTGGTTAATTTTTTCTTCAATATTTATTCTTAATTTCAATGGTTAAGATCATGAGTTAATTGAAGCTAGACCACTATGATAAACCTGAAAGCAATGGATGGCCGTTTGGTTTTATAGTAAGATTTCTAAGCAGAGCGCATCTACAATAGTTAATTTCATCACTTAAACAAATTTACTGCTGAGGTGTTCCACAATAGGATGAAATGGCCGTCCAGTGCTTCCAGGTTTTCCATGGTCATCTAGCTTCATCTGACTAACGAACTCAACCATTAAAACTATTATAATATCCAAAAAAAACCCCTTCTGATATTTATTGTTAGTTAATATAAATATACATTTTATTTTTCAATGGTTATTTCTTTCAGAATTTTGAGCTACTACTTCTAATCCAACTACTCAAAACAGGTAAATTATATGAAATTAATTAAGTTTCTTCCTGAAAGAAAAAATATTAGAGAAAATACCATTTTTTGTATCAAAAGTTCTCTAACTAGTCATGAATGACAAACTTTTATACAATCTGTTTTATTGTAAAATGATATAGATAATTTAGTCAAGAACTATAATCTAAATTTCCTGCTACCCAAGTGTTTAACTAATTAATATGTAATGATTCTTTCTTCTGCACAATTTTCAATCCTTCTTCTTATTGAACATGTGCTGTTTAGCTTTATATCAGAGTACATAATTATTTGGTCAGGTTACAATAAGTGTACTTCCAGTGTTCATCAACTGTGCTAAAAAACTTCTAAATTTACGACGTAATTTTGTAAGTTTATACAAACAACTAACTTAGGATGAAAATAATTTCAGTAGATCGTTCATCAAATTGGTTTTAGTTACTATTAACGATATCATAACTCACATCACGAACTGATCTTAAATAAAACTCAAATTCAGGAAGTAGTGGAAGGTTTTTTCGCTCTTGTATTAAATTCCAAGGCCATGTTCACTTACAATCTCAGTTGAGAGTAAACACAGAAGCTTTTGGTATCACAGTGAACACTTAAACCCTAGATCACTAACCCAGTACCAATACGTAAATTACATCGGTTCACGAAATTGCAGAATCATCTTTAAATTCTATTGCTGAGTCTATAATGTAAATTAAGACATACCCTGAACTATTTAATGACATCATAACGAAAGTAAACTAATTATTTGAGAAATTCCAGTAATATTTTATTTCATAAAAACTGTATTTAGTGTATTTTCATTTCACCAACTTAACACATTAAAATATTCCTAATATGAGAAGATATTTCAAAAATTTATTGGAAAATAATTTCCATTAAAAATGTCTTGTTTGTACACAATTTTTTCTACTGTGAAACTAAATGTTCCAACAAAACAAGGTTATTTTAAATTACGTAATCCGTTTACACTTCGTTAAATAGGTATTTAAGAGGAGGACGAAACACAAGGAAAGAAAAACATTAACTTAAGCATTTAGTTAAGGTGAAAGATAACAAAAAGTTATTATGTACATAAATAACCATATGAATATGTAAAATTACTGAATTAATCCAATGAACTAATAAAAATAGTTAAACAGAAAAGTGGTTGTCTAGCTTCAAGTGATTCATGATTTTAACCATAGAAAAACAGATGTTTAAGCTAATGGAAATAAGATTAATAATGGCTCAACAAAAATAGTGATAATTGTTTACATAGACGTCCCTGAAACATGAAAATCTCTTTTTATCAACGGACTTTTGCAAATGAACAACATAATTCCCTAATAGTTGAACAAATCGCAATTCACCAGAGAAAGAAGAATAAATTAAAACGCTGATGGGTAAACTAAGAAAAATTTTTTATAACAATTAAACAATGTAGTACTTAAATACTATCATGAACAATAAGAACTATTTATTTCGTGATGTATTCTTTAGAAATAAACAAAATTCTAAACTGTTAGATATGCACTAAAAATATCATTTGTTTTGATCAATGAAATTTGCGTACTTCGATGAAACTATACTAAACTTACAAAACCGTAGAGACAAACTTCATTTAGCTGATTTTTTTATATAGATTCGCTTAATTTAGCAACAGATTTTGTTAAAAAATAGGCATTAGATAATGATTTATAGAAAACTAACGAGTACTCGATAGATTTTTTGTTACAAAACCAATACACATGAGTAAGTTAAACTCAAGATCTCACACAGTTAAGTGTTAATTCTAATGATTTTATAATAAGTATCAACCTTGTATTAGTGAAATAGAATCCAATAATTTGGCACTATTAAACGGGATTAATATTAAACATAGTAGAAATTGTTGTTAAGCATTACATTAAAAAAACTAATCACTTTTCATAGCATTCATCAATGCTAAAATATATTTATTTACTTACTCATTTATTAGTAATTATTTCTCTATTTTATATTTCTAAAAACTAATAAAACATAACATCATCTGAGCTTCGATAGTTTATATATATATATATATATATATATATATATATATATATATATATATATATATATATATATATATATATATATATATATATATATAGTGTCCTACTAAATGTTTACATGCCTTAAACATCACTGTATAAACAGTTAATTTTAATGTACGTTCCTGTATTGTTAACGGCAAATAAATCTTTTTGAAATTGAAACAACTTTAATAGTATAACAAATTGTTATACTAAAAACAATATTTCAATGAATTAAATTACTTTATCCCCATAAATTAAATTTAGTTAATGTAAATTGTAGCATTAGCAAACGTTTTTATTTATACTCTAATATGTTTGGCAATTCCTGTCATTTCATTAGCTACTTATTTATAGTTTACTCTAAACAAGCAAAAGACAATGAAGAAAATCATATAATTATTCATTACAGCATCATAATTTAATTGTACGTTTTATACTACTCATTAGTCGTATAAATGTTTAAAAGAGCAGAAATATGTAATTTGTGGGAATAAATATAAAGATCGTTCATTTCCTCGATATTATAAAGAAACACCACTGTTGTAAAAGTGATTCTACTGAGATATGAAACAGTGAAGAGCTTACGAAGCATTTGATTTTTTTTAAGAATAGAAGCTTGTATTCAAAATGTTTGGTTTAGTAGGTTATATTTGTTCACCTGTACCCTTCATCAGTTTATTAACCCAAATTAGCTAGTTAAGTATTGGTTATACTATATCATGGAGTTGTTTGAAATCACAGTGATACGCAATTCAACACGTGCAAAATCTTACGTGTATAGTTGTTTTTTTAACAATTAAGTGTAATGACGGGGTTTCGAGTCACTAAGTAACGCTTATCAGATGACAACACTGTACATGAATACATTTTGATAAAATCCATTCAATGCAACAACAGCTAACATTATACCATATTCTTTACGTCCAAAAAAAACTATATAAAGAAGGGAATCCTTTAATTTGTTCATTAAGGGAATAGTTTGAAAGAAAAATACCGTCAGAATACAAATGGATGAAGCATACAAAATAGCCCTGTTCTGAAGAAATGAAGAAAACAAAATAATTATTGAGCATCCTATAAATCAATATAAATACGATAAAAACGAAATATATCATATAAATAACACTAAATAGTTGACAAGTATCATAATAAAAGGTCTACTTTGTATCAGCCTAATAAATCCTTCATGAGATTAGCAGATATTTCAATAAACTAATCTGAACGTCGCAGACAAAACCACGAATTTCCGATAGTTTTAGTGAAAATCGTTGATAAGTCCACATTTATCCGAAAACATTCATGTCTTTTGAAAAAGCAAATATGTCTTTAAGATTCTAAATATACTAATTGTAATGTACATCATTATTTACATCATTTGTCTTCTTAATCATAGAGCTAGTGACTTTTTATATTCACTAAACATAATTCAAGATTCTTCATTTAAAGGCATGGTTTTTTCTGCTTCCAACTTTTCATTCTTTTTCCACTCACATCTTATGGTCTCCAATACTGTGTCATTCAATAAGTCTCCGTTTACTCATCTTCCGTTAATTATCAGTTCCAGCATATTTTTCAAAGTAAGCTAATAAGTTTGTTCTTTAGGACACTTCACAGAAATTCTCCAAGTCAACTTAAAATGCTATCCGACTTTATTAATTTAAAAATACTGAAAACCGATGTTATTATTGAATTTCATTTCGTTCTTGTTATATCTGGTCTTCGCTAATTGTTATGATTGAGTAGCCAATTTGTTATGTTGGAATCGCTTACTACTCATATTTGTAATACGAGAAAGCACTGCAATTCTCACGATAGGAAATAAGAACACCAAGACTGATACAAGGGAAGACTTGTTAGACCCAAAACACGACAACGACTCTAGTTGAAAATTCACTCATTTATATATTGATTTGTACACCTATTCGACAAATAATTAGGATGAAATCACATATATGAAAAAATATATGTTACACGTCATACTGAGCATAGTAGACGTTAACTTATTACAGGAATACTGTATCTTGAATAAACTGAACACAAATAAATTAACGTTATACAGAGTAAAATATCACAGTGGGAAAAAAAATTCTACACGGAGTATTTATCATACAGAACTAAAACAACGGAAGTAATACTGAATAAAAATCACAATGAATATGAGAATCTAATTTTACTTTTTAACCCCGTCATATCAGTTCTTTGCTTTCCGGTGTTGAATATGGTATCATGTTATTATAGAATGTGAATCAAAAAAATACTTAT